CGTCTTGGAAATTCGCCAAAAGCCTACAAAACAACAAATTCAATCAAACGAGTTTCAGCCATTTATTAATAAAAGTAAGAATCGGTGAACCAAAGTGTAAGATTGTAAATATAGAAAAAAAAAAAAGTTCACCCATAACTGCTCAACATACTTGGGAATACAGTAACTTCAAAACAAAGAAAAAAATATTACTGCAGTATAAACTCCGAAGATACTGCAAACAACCAATTATAGTTAGCAATATTTTTTGAAAGAGAAAAATATTGTACATAATAATTTGACCGTGTATCCACCTAAATTCGGGGGTTCTTATACTTGTATATTCATATATACAAGTACATACATATACATATATATATATACGAAAGGAAATATGTGATTCACTCTATTCACACAAAATAAATTGCCTTCTCAAATAGCAGCTTATTGATATGTTCACATAAACATGTTTAAATAGAGAAATAACTACCATATATACTTAAAGATATATATTGTTGTATTAACAACGTTCTTTAGCATGAAAAAAAGCTATATATATATAAGCACGATGTAGGTAGGTATATTAAAAAAAAAAAAGTGACAGAGTTTTTTTTTGACGAAGACTCAATATAAAACAGTGCGGGCTCGTTAAAAATCTGAGAGTTAGATTTGCTCAAGCGTGTTAGTACAGGTAATGAGATTTGGCTGTATGGGTTTGCTGTGGAAAATGTCGTCTGAGTATAATTTTAAAAAGCCAGACTGCAAGATACTGGTTAAAAACTAAGCTTCTAAAGTAACGCTGTCTGCGAAAAGCTAGCAGTTTTTTTACTACGATAATGCTCGGCTTACACGTCGTTTCTAGAGAACAACTTGATGCCTGTGTTACTTGAACCCTCGTATTTATTAGATTTACCCTTTCACCTGTGACTTTTTCCTCCTGTCAAAGTTCAGGGAACATATGAATCTATAATCGAAGTAATCAAAAGGATAGATAAATGCAGAAGCACATGATTGACTTTGAAAACTCTCTGAAACACTGCGAAAAACGGTGAAGCACGTTCATTCAATCCGGCGACATCACTTTGAAGCGAAGCTGAGATTTTAATGACTGAGATGCGTATAGCTTACATTTTTTATACATTTGTGTAGAGTTTCCATTTAAATGAAGTTACCGAAGAGTCCGCAGAATCTCTCAATGAAACAAAGCATTATAGGCATTTGATTGAAGGCGTCTGAAAATGAAGTGGCGCAAAGAGTCATCTTCGAATAAATCAGAAGAACACTGGCTAATTTGTGGCCTTTCGACGAAAGAATATCTTCTGAGCCTCAACAGCTAACCTTTTTCAAACTCTTCACTTCGTATTTTTATTCCTTGTTAGGCCTTATATATTTGGGATTTTTCGGACCATTATCAACCAGAAATTTGAATACGCGGATCTTTTCGTAACTCGCATGTTTAACCGGAGCCTCAACACATTTACACGTGACGATATTGCTTTACTTACAATTACCATTGAAAAGTTCCTCGTCACTTTGAAAAATATTTTTTAACACTTGTGAGCACCTTAAAGCTCGGATCGAAGTTGTGATCGAACCTAATAGCAGTGGTAATCGACCCGAGCATGAGAATGTGTTTTTCAACATTTTTTTCGCTCACAAGTTTCGTTTCTGTATATGTTTCATCTTAAAAAACGACGTTAAATTTGTTTCAGCTGAGTAGGAAACGCTTCTGAATCACCATCATTACAAAATCATATTCGCCATCTGTATTTTATAGTGAACCATTTGGTATATTCACTTAAAATATTTTTTGCCAATTGGTCGTAGGAAAATAGCAGGATCGTCTAATCCGAGCGGAAAGTTGACGACCTTGTGTTTTCAACATCCATTTTTGATGGATATTTTTGATTGCAAAAACGTAAATATAACCGATTCATAGTGCCACTATGCCAGACCTGCAGACGGACAAATTAACGGCTAATGATTTGAACAGATTTGGCTTCAGAGTTAAAAGGCTCCTATTATTATTATTGGAAATGTTTTAGCCTAATGCGATTAGCCTTCTTTTTTCCGGCAAAAAAAAACCCGGTTTTTGATGTAGAAAACGTGCGAAGCAAAAGTTGTTTGAAAGTAACTTCGCGTTTCCCTACTTGTAGAGATACAGGCGTCGATGAGGGTTTATTGCCCTACGAAAGCTGCCTTCCTTTATGAAATTTCATATTTAAGGAGTAACAGAAATAAGGGCAGAAAATGTAATGACCCATAGTTGTTCAGTCTTAGTGGTTCAACCCGAAGTGCTGAATATACACACATATATATATATACGTGTTTCATATTTAAAAGATAATGCATTAAAACATGCATTTACGTCTTTCAGGCTGATTTCCCATGAAAAATTATGTCTAAAGTACTGTACGTTTAAAGCATCATGCGGTCTTTTGTTCCCTGCCTTTACGAAGCTTCATTGACACTTATACGTCGTGCGACTGCTGTGAAAGAACTAATTCTATTCTATCTACTTTTTTCCTAAGAGTGCATCTTGAACCTGTAACTGTCTAGGCAATACGCTTATATAAGTTGCAACTTTGTGTTACCAAAGGAGACAACATCTTAACCGACGAAATGTTGGCTTGCTAATGGCAAGCCCGAGCAACGTTCTTACTGTCGGCAGTTTTTTGGTCAGCAAATGACGTTAAACGTTAAAAAGTAACTTAGCAGCGTTTCCGGTATTGCATAAGCACATGCTACTACGAGATCAGGGAAGAAACGAGAACCGTTTCTCTTAGTAAGAGTATCAATGACTTACTCCCGTTTGAAATAGTTCGTAAGTCTCAAGCTGGTTAAATCTAATTGTGATATAAGTATTTACCTATCTTGAAAGAGTCGGTTTATTATTGATTATAGAAGAACGAGCCACTTTTTGACACTTTACATTTAAAACTAGTAGTAGTGTCGAGTGGACGTCCTCCCGTTGCTTACTGCCAGAATGATCTCTGAGAACTGCAACAGAACGCTTTCCGTAAGTCTGAACAAGCCATCTAAATAGTTCACACGTTATTTTTGAAGGATTTTGTTTAGAACTTGGAAAATGGGGTTCTTTTGAGTTTCTCTTTCTATTTCAATTTAGCCTTGTGTTTTTCACTTTTTGCTTATGTTTTGTATCTCTTAACGGTCTTAAAACAGCCAGTTTCCTAAGATTGCTACTAAATCTAAGTAAGACACCAAAAAATGCATTATACAGCCAAGTAATGTTTCGTCGCTAAAATACATTGTTGGCAATTAGTGTATGACTTAAAAATTGAAGTGAAAAACGTTGATATTAAACAAAAACAGAATCACTAACAAGTTATAAAATAACCTTTATCTATAACAATGATAATACCTTAACTTACCGCGCGGTAAGACAAAGGTCGGTTAGAGAACTCTAACATAAACATCAAATGCGCAATCGTGTTGGCTACGTGCGATTTGGCTATTAAGTGGTTACAATGCAACAGCCATTTAATCGCAAATCACTCCCGCCTGGGAGAGACAACCCTTTCTAGGTTAAATTCCCATAAAATCTTTTTTGCACTCACTTCTATTGCGGAGTGAGGATCACTGTGCCATCTTCTACTGGTGATGAACTCGCTTCTATACGCGTGCTATCTGCAATTATTTTGGGAGCATTCTAAGGCAGATGTGATAACGGTGTTCTTGTGAAACGCGAACTTTCGAGAGCACTCGACGAGCCGGTTGTTTGTCACCTCGTCAATGAAGCCCTGTCAATCATTCAAACGTCATTCAAACGTCAAAGATCATTCAAAACGTTGAGTATTATGTAAACTCATCCGTTTCATGATTATATATCCTAATTAACTGATAAAATGAAAGGTTGGCTTTAACTAAAGTTGATTTCTTTTACTTATGCTGCTTGCTTATGATTAGTAAGTCGTAGTTGTTAAATACACAGTGGCTTAATAGTCCTTATGCTTTGACTCATTTTTAGGCATAATGTCTATAAGGCAGACTAAAATACATCGTTTCCAAAGTTTTCAAGCGCGTACTTGTGAGCTCGCACTACTAGGTTTGCTTCGTAAACGATAGCTTATTAATGTCGGTGGACATTTTCCTGAAACTGGAAAGGATATGCAAACGCCTAAGCTATATCGGGTAATATTTTTTATTCGTTGCTTTCTCTAAGATAGTATATTAGTCATTGCTCCGATCATCTTTGCTTCCTACATTATACAATCACCAGCACGTGGCGCCAGAGTTTCAAAAGCTTACGAACGACATATTCATATTAATACCTTGTTCTAGACAGCATGAACTTGTCAGAATATCTCCATTTACCCTGGACTGCTAGCAAAAGGTCTATATAAAAAAACAGACTCTACGAACCGCATCTAGTCCTCGATTGAGCCATCGACATGGCCCTATAGACCATTTTTATGTATTTTTGCATGTCCGTATGTATCCTGTTACGCCTGTTAGTGTCTCTGAGAAAACGAAGAACTCCATCCTCACCTTCTTCTATTGAGCCCCGGGGCTATACAAAGATACGTTTATCTCCCATAATTTCCGTGTTTTAGTACTGTTTAATTACGTTATAATAGTAAGTGTTGTATACGCTATTAGATATATTCGCTCCCATTTCTGTACTACGTTTACTGTTGGCGAACTCTATTTGGGGTTGCCGTGGCTAGCACCAAAGTAGGAAAGATATAGGGAGTTTAATTCTGGCTGGAAAGTTTGTTATCTACATAGCACGTTGCCGTTTTCATAGAATTGTAGACGTCTGCAGTCGTTCGTGGATAAGTAGTAGACGGTGGCCCAAGGCCGGCTAGAATGCTCATAAGCGTAGTCGGCGGGGTGCACCGCTCTCACTGCTTCGTTCGTACTGTTAGCGCGTTTCCCTTTCTCTCGTTTGGCTTATTCAAACCTCCTTTCCCCTAGATTCGCTCACCCACACAGGCTCACATGCCCAGAGACAAACATACAGACACTCAAGCAGACCTTCAACAAGACAGCCGCAGGCATCAAGCAAAAGCCCGCCACAACCCTTAGGCTAACGGAGACCGAGGCAGCGAACCAGCGAAGGCTCCAAAAAAAGGAGAGGAATACGAACGTTCGAGAGGACCAAGGCAATGTAGGTTTCGGCTATCCGTTCAGATCGACACGCAGTTACCTGAACAACACGGTCGAACCAGCAACAACAACTAACTGAAGAAGTAACTGAGGCTGAGTAGATCTACCTCAGCGAGTCGACTTGACCGGCGATTTGGCCACGGATTCGGCGCTTTCAATTGACTCAGACGCGTCTTGTAAACAGAAGCATGCGAAAATGATGAGGATAACGGAAGATGAGTGTGACACATGCGGACACGCTGGCTGAGCAACGGTGAAAAAAGACCGACTGTCGTAAAGGATAGAGATTGCGACATCCCGTTTGGTCAGTAGCCGGGCGTCCAACATGTTGTATTGGTGTGTCGTGCGATCAATGCAGTAGGCGTTTATAGTGGTTGAATTTCACGGTCCAAGACTTTGTGGTAACAATCAGATGAGTTCGATCTAGGATAAAAAAAAAAAGATTTCAACGAAGGATAAGCGTCGAGTTTGATAACTAGTCAGTTTTCTCCGTTGAGACAGAAAATAGAAAACTTTCGAAGCAAGTGTGGCTGTCAATAGTAGTAACAACAAAACAAACGGCAACAAACTGTACCGAGCTCGAGGAATGACGCTAAGCAAGGCGCTATAGAACTGTATAAAATCTCTGTATAGTATAAATCTGTATATTATATAGTATGTAAAGAACTACTGCGGTGTTCAAATTGAAGGCTAAAAGTCCAACACTGACCGGTTCATTGAACCGCTTTTCCCGTAATGCTCTGTTTGATATGATGTGCAGCGTGGGAACGACGTGACTGGCCTTGCGTGTGACAGGGATGAGAAGTCCCCATACGACCAAGGTGGCGCCACAGTCTACTTGGTATAGACCGTACCGTTAAAGCAAGCGTATGAACCTGAATGAAATCAACCTCATTACGAACTCCAATTTCGGCGGGAATGTCGCCATCTGAAGATTAAGTTGTAGTGAAAAAAAAAAAAGAAGGCTGTACATCACAAAAGGCAAAATATTTATTGGACTAGTTGAGCAGTCTAGGGGCTCAGTAATATCAGAGGGGCAAAAAGCAAGCACACTCTAATAGCTTTTACTCGACACAGTTCTTAAGGCGTGTTATTAGAAAGAACTGCCACTGTACTTAGTAACCTGTACAGAAGGAAAAATACTTCTCATAGATTACTCTATGTTTATATTCCTAGGGCGACATCTCGAGAACCTGCTGATCGATTTGATTCAGGCGAATATTTTCAACAGCATCCGTGAGTTGTCGGTCAGCCAATCTGTCCTATTAAACTCGCATTCTACTCAACCTCGAAGGTGTATCCTTCCGCAAAGTTCGGGACATCGTTTCGCACCAGTGCGTTACTCGTATCTGGGAAATACGTGATACGGGCCATCACGCTGTCGGTTTGTTTCAGTAACATTTGTTAGCTAAAAGAACGTTATTGTCGTAAAACATTGCCTCTACGGGTTGACTACTGACTTTTTTGTGCTGTCTCGTAGATCGACTGATTGGACTATATGGAAACAAAACTGTATTTATTACAGCTGCAACGATAGTCTGTGTTGCTGCTATCATTGCATTTCGTTTGTGTGTAACTTCAACCATAATAGGCTCTGCATGTGCCGCGTTTGATCGTTCAGGCAACTTGTGTCTGCCAGAAAAAGAGTTCATATAGCTATTGTGGTTGCTTGATCAGTCGTGTCTTTCTGGCACGTTGTGCGAGCGAAAAAACCGAGTACTGGCTGCGGCTGTCAACGTGATAATTGAGACGGACGCACAGTGACACGCCCGGCGTGCGCAGACACAGAAGAGGGGTACTATCCAGCATAAAGAGGTAACGGAGGAAAGAAGAACCTTGGTAGCTAGTTTGTGAAAACAAGCGGAACTCTCCCTCTTTTACCGGGTCCGCAGCAACGTCAGCGTCATGACAGGAGGATGGGATTCAGTGTCTACAGGCATAGGGAAAGCAGTTCAGCACCTTAACGTTTGAAATCCACCAGAAACGAAAGCTTACGAATTGAGGTTGAAACTAACACCGACACGGGAGCGCGGAAAGACGAGAAGGTCTTTAATCGAGCGCCTACGACACTCGTATCGTAGAGCTCGGCCTATTGAGCGCCCGTGCGAAAACTCTGCCGTTATAACATCAAAGGTCTTTATGGATAGTAAACGGCAACTGAGAACAGGACGGGACGGAGGAAGCCTTCAATTGCAATTATTTTGTATTGGGATAGCTGCAACGCTAATCTGCAATTCTACAGGTAGGTCGCCAGCTAATAAACGGTAGCTGAGAGAGCATAGGCCGTAAATCGATGGATAATCCTTGCCCTACGCTATACTTGGTCATTTATTCAAAGACAAAAACAGACAAAGAGAATTCCTCGTCGCCACTATTAAATATAACAGCTAATATTTATTTTAAAACACGACAAAGCAACGAAATTTGTTTAAACATTAAACATTTACTTAATGTTGCCTTTTAGTAAGCTAGGTAAGATAAACATCGCTAGAGCACCAGTTTCTAGAGAAGCATTTTAGAAAAATTATAGCAATATCTGTATACAACAAGAAACATCATCTGCGTACGAGCTAGATCCTTAACGCCGAAGATGGCCTAAAATGACGGCAGCCTGTGCATCTTCTTGCTCACATTTATGTGCATATTTGAAAGACTCGCATCACAGCGGAAATGCGTAGAGAAGCATAAATCTATATGTATCGACAAACTGGATCATCATGCACCGGCCTGAGACAATGTTGCAGGCATTTCCTCTACATTCTGCGAAGGAATAGGTAATTTGATTGGAACTTAACGGATGTGCTCGTCATAGTAAACATTTGTCCGCTTTTCTTGCTGTTCACGTAGTTTTCCAGAAGAAGCTACTTGTCCATATCTCACAAGTGAAAAGTTAGTTCTGTTAGTTACACACACGATAATAGGAAACAATCTAATAGAAAAAAAAATATATATAGCCAATTTTTCATGTGGTATGTTCAATGGGTTGTATTTATACCTATTGTCTAGGCAGAGTTAATATTTGCTACAGAAACATTATTTGTTTTACCTCGTTTGCAAAAGATCCTGTCTGTGCATTTGCAAACAAAAACTTCGACGAAGGTTTTACTCAGCGATATAGCGTGTCGCTTAAATGATAACTTCGTATCATAGTTTTTTGGCGGTCGTAAGACCGAATAAGAGCGAGAGCATCTGACTTATGTTCATCTATTATGCCTGAGGCATCATCGGTTGTGTTATCATACAGGCTTTGGCCTTTCCTCTATATTAAACGAAATAACTTATTGGCCTGTTTACATATAAAATACCTAATATAGCCGTTTTAAAGGTTATCTATACTCTTGTAACTACGTTGTTATAAAAAAGTCACGTGAGGAATTCTAGTCGAAGCTGTAAAGCAATGTATTTATAGGGGTTCTCGAAGATTTACGTTTGTCAATTAAGAACTCCCCCATGGTATTTACCCTGTTACTTACATGCACGTCTTTGGCGACGGATTGCTTTACGAGTAGTTTGGCTTGACTAACTAATTGGGAAGACGGTTAGCGTCTAACTAGACGTACTAGATTGTAATCTAGAACCCTTCTGCACCTACCTTTACCTTGGGATTACAACAAAAGACATTAACCCGTAGACTCTATCGCTTTTCATCTCAAGTAGCAAATTATTTTTTTTTCAGTAGGTCTAACTGCACTTGAAGGCTTCGGATTTTAAACATTCGCCTAGGGTGGGAGCAAAAACTCGTCGGAATTCTATTCATAAGTTACAATTAAGTGTAGCATTATGACTCATCTAATTATAGACACTTTTTGATTAGAGCTCACTGGGTTTATTGAAGCGGGAATCCACACGGGCCATTCTGAGACGATCGGTGACAACTTCTAATCTAGCTAGAGGTGTCGCGTTAAGACAGCCAAAAGCCCGAAATAAAAGTGTTTGTATACTGCATATGGTTCAGATGGAGCTATGCAATTTTCCTCATACGACATTTCTACAAAGTAAATCTATCGGTTTAATTTATACTATAACTAGATTTCACTATTGAGTATAGAAAGATAGTTTTGTTTATTAGTATGCGATCGCTTCGATTTTTCAGCAGCGATTCTACTCCAATCGATACTAAGAAGGCAACGAGCATTGTAGGGATCTAAATTAATGGCGTTTTCATTTTGATCTGTTAGTGACTATTACGTACACTACCACAGCTTAGGTAACTCATAATTATAATCAAGTGTAACTATCTGGTCGCTTTTACTTTGCAGTATGTAGACACAATATGCATGGCAAAACAGTATTTAGCCCGCAAAAGAGCCAAGCATCTTCGTTATAACACTGAGCACATGTTCCGGTCGTGCCTCTACGACTGGCCGACCATCGGCCTTCGACCGAGTCAATGCACATTTCGTTAGCCTCAGCGCTAACTTCAGCACATCTGCACAACTGCTTCTCTGTTGTCATCAAGTTGACTGGCGTTGAGATGCTGTGATGGGTTTAGGCGAACCGTGTCCATCTTTAACTCCTGGGTTCCACCGATCAGCGGCCCACAGCTGTAAGCACCTGTCTGTGTTTAACTGTATCACTTCGATACGATTATGGAGGAACGATAACTAAGCTGATTGCAGAATTGGAGATTCAGTGGTATCGCCGTACGGTGCGCTTGAGAACGTTCAACAGCCAACTGCTGAGTGACAGTTTACAAGCTGTTCTAAGAGTGGACGTAGCACTTGAGCACCTCTGAATCTGCTTATCCCAATTGTTTATTTGTTGATAAAGTTTGTTTTGCAGTTTTGATTCTCTCAAAACACGAGCGAGATGTTCTAAGAAATTTAAAAGCGTGACGGCACTAGGCAAGCATAATTTGTGCAGGCAGGACATATCATTGGTCCTTATTGTTAGAGCGTATTTCCGTTTTCAACGGGAAAATGTAAAGCCAATCCGTATGACCAGTATCTTATTGTTGTAGTATTAGAACGCACATAGAATATGGCAATATATTTCAACTATTGGGGTCTTATGCTTAAACTAATGCACTTAGCAAGAAAAAGCAGAGCATTTATTTTGCAGGGTTCAAACGAATATCCAGGACGATAAAAGGGCTTAAGCAAAGTATACTACAAGCAAAACGAGCAAACAAGTCTTGCGCGGCCTGCCAGCTGTAGCGCCCCCACTAATCTTCAATAAGCTTTTGTAGGCATTCATTGTTAATGGAGTGCGTTATTATCGACGAGGCAAGCCAGCCGGATATCAAAGCATGCGCTACACACAGGCCTGCTGCATATAGCTGAATTCATAGCTTGTTCTGTTGTGAAAAGGGACAGGTCGAATTCGCTGCTGTCATAGGAAGTAGGATATGTATTATCGGTCATTTTCAAATCAGACATTCGCGCGCGAACAAATCTCATAAACACTTTTATTGAGACAAGCTGAAGCGCCTCGGATAACAGTAAAACAAACGTTTAAAGAACAATGTCAAGTTTTGTGTTCTTAAATTTGTCTCATTTTTCACCACCACCGCCGCTTATCTTCTTTTATCGGCGGTTCATCAGGAAAGATTACGTTTGAATAATGTTAATTTGTTAGTTTGATAAGGCATCGTTTTGAGTGCAACATGCACACAGTATTGTATTCGCCAGTCTACCATTATCAACAAATAAACATATTTCACAAACGTAAAACAGCAGATTTTCGATTCCAGCTTAGATGACGTGCACCTTTCTTTTCCACTAAAAATAATATGTTCAATAGCATAGGAAAACGTTATAAATCCTTTGATGCCTTTAGTTACCTACTGTGTATCTCTCTTCCTCATTGTACTATTCCTTAGCCTAAGAGTTTTAAGCACAGTGGCGGCCTCTGTCCAGGTCCGACAGTGGTCTAGATTTAATTCCAGATCGAGGCGCAACGATACGTGGTGCAGCATTTAGTTGATGAAGATTCCACAGTACCAGATGAATACTTCACCTATTAAGCCTAATTTGCATAATGAGTTAGTTTTCAGCTTCCTGAAAAAACAAAAGCAAAAGGTCCCATTTATGTCCTAAGCGCACAATGGTGATCCGTATAAGGTAATATATGTGCTATCCATCTACCTAGTTTACTCTCGATGGATAGAGTAAATATGGACTGGGCCTGTTAACAGGCGCCGCATCCTGCAAATCCTGTATACAGCGCGTAGTCACAGTTCAGACATGAACTGCGGTTCGAGGTTGCTGTGACAATATTTACATTGAATGAGGATGATGACCGGTAGTAATTTTCTAACCGCATTTCAGGGGGTCGCGAAATGAACCTTATCAGTCCATCCCGTGGTTCTAAAACCAATGTGAGCGCATTTTCCACCCCCAGCCTTTACCTATGAACTCATGAGGGCTTTATATATGCATCGGATGTATGTCAGCTGGTGCATTGCATCCGGTGCATCGAGAAGAGCAAATGGGTCGTTTAACATCTCGAAATAGTTGTCTCACAGCACGAGGGAGAGATACGACGAAAGTTTAGAGTGTTCGGAGCGCTACTTTTCGACGCCAGTGTCACAATACTGCTGCTAAGCGTTTGCTTAGCGAGCTGGGCTCGACGGCTTTTTACCTTTGTTGAGCGAGGACGTGTGACCCATCATCTTCTCAGACCGCTCTGCAGTTTACGCGCACTTTACTATATGCACATGACTAGACGCCCGGGGTAAAGCAAAGGGGCAAATTACACATTGCGGAGAAGCACGGATAGGAGAAATGAATTCGGCTTTGGCTAGAACTTAAGGGTCAACGTTTGAGGGTGTGCTATAAATAGCAGATGAAAAATGAAGTAAATAACTATCTGATTTGCGTGGCCCAAAAGTAGTCTGTCACTGCTGAGAAAACAGAGGGAATCTAAATCGTCTAGGTAGTAACTATGGGCATCTCTGTTCTGATGAATGAGTCACTTGTTCAAATTTACACTTATATAATTTGCGTTTAGATAAATAAACTACAGTACCCTGTGCTGTAATAAGCTAGCGTTGCGCTCCCAAGCGGTCCTAGTCGATGCTTGTACGTTAATCCCAAAAAAACTTACTAGATTCGAATACTGCTGGTCGCATCGGACGTGTTAGTGCATGTAAACCATGGCGGAAATATTCATGGTCCTTCTGCAAAAATACGCAAAGGACGTATGATGGAAGTAGAAGTTGCTCAAACGTGCAGCGACGCGTCTGCAGTCATTTCCCTCACCACTCAGACCTTAAGGCAGTGACCTCTTGCGACTATGGGT